CTGGAGGCCAGCATGAACTTTGATGTGCTAGTAGACAGCATGGATAGCCATTTGTCCCTTCTGCCAAAGGCTGTGGAAAGGATTCCTTTTGGTAGAGAGGAAGAGGCTTCACAAGTTTCTGAGGAATGCTGGCTTTTATTTACCTTCTGGAAATCCTCCTATAGTCCATGTTGAGTCCATTGGACTGCCTTCTGGAGTTGGAGGAATTGGAGCTTCCCTTGGACCTAACACTCTCACACTTCTTTCTTTGACTTAGCAGGTTGTATGTAAGCGTGCAGTTTAATTTTCTACTGTTGGGGGATTTATCCAATTCCTTTGTAGTTTCAATTATTAGTCCATTGAAAACTTTTGTGACATCTATTTACTGTGTGTGCATATATGGTGGGGGTGGGCACAAGCACCACAGAGCACATGTGGAGGGCAGAGGACAGTTTGTGAGAGTCAGGTCTCTTCTACATCTTGAGACTCTAATTCGGGTCACCAGGTTTGGTGGCAGGCACCTTTACCTGCTGAGCCATCTTACCAGCCTTTATTGCATTTTGTTTATTGAGCATACTTGGTATAGTTTCAGTTGTCTCAAATTCACTAAAGCATTTCCTGGCCTAGAATACAGTTTATACTAGAGAATATTATGTCTCTGCCTTAAAAAAAAATGTGTTCATTGATTGGGGAGGAGGCTGTTTGATGGTATTTTTCAAGCTTTCTACTTTATTGGTACTTGTCTGCCTGGCTGTTTTATCAATTATTAAGAATAGTGTATTAAAATATCTACTCATTGTTTGTACATTGTCTATTTCTCTTTTTAAATCTGTCACTTTTGATTCGTGAATTTCGACACCATTGTTAGTTGTGCATACATTTGTAATTCCTGCCAATTATCCTGCCATTATTAAATGCCTTTCTTTCACTGTAGGAGAATTTTCTGGTTTGAAATCTGTTTTGTGTGGATACTGCCACCTCAGCTCTCAGATATTCATTCTTTGCTTGGCATCCCTTTCGCCATTTTTTTTCTTTAGCACCACTTGTCTTTGAATATAACACATTTTTCTGTCTCCAGCATCAAGTGGTTTCTGCATCTGCATATACTCTGATGGGTTAATAAAAACTCAGAGGCAGATATTGGGATTCAACCTAAAAGTCAGAAAAGTAAAGCAGCCAGGCACTGGCTCTTACCTCTATCTCAGTCTGAAATGGTGATCCTGCCTCCAGGAATCTCAGAATGAGACTGTGTCTGAGAGCTGTCTCCTCCTGTCTTATATTCTTCTCTAGGGCTGGGATTAAAGGTGCGCACCACTACTACCCGGTTTCTATGGTAAACTAGTGTGGCTACTGGAATTAAAGGTGTGTGCCACCACTGCCTGGTCTATAAGGCTGACCAGAGGGTCTGTTTTACTGTCTGATCTTCAGGTAAGCTTTATTAAAATACAAATAAAATAGCACTACAGTGATATCTGTTCACATCATTTCTGCTGGGTTTAATTATGCTTATGGTCAGATTTTCATTCACTACCTTGCTATTTGTTTTCTATAGGTTTTCACAGTTTTATTATTTGTCTGTTCTTCCCTAGTTACCTTTTTTATGTTTAATTTTAAGTGTACTAGTATAATTTTCCTGGTGGTTTTAACCATATATTTTAGTTTCTTAATACTTTCTCTAGGAAATATAATTATCATCTTAACCCAGCAAGTCTTCTTCTGATTAATATCAATTTAATTGTAGAAACCTATTTTCTGTAATAGAGTTCCAGCTCCTTACCCTACCCCACTTTGTTGAGGTTTTATTGTCCTATGACATATGTGCATTGTTCCTTTAGAAAATCTTATGTCTTTTAGAAGGAAGAAAAGAAATTAGAAAAAAATATATCCATAAGGTCTTTTATCTTAACCCACTTTTTCTGTTACTCGTTGCTATTCCCCGTGGCTAGAAGTCAGAAATCATTTTCTTCCACCTTAATGGCATTCTTTACTATTTCTTATCCTGCAGTCCCACTAGCAAGGAATCCTTAGTTTGTATCTTGAAATTTCATCTATATTTCGCCTTCATTTGTGAAGGATGGATTTGGTGTGCACAGAATAGGTAAACGGGGTTACATTAGACTGTAAAGCTTCAGTACAGGAAAAGAAATGGCTATAGCCTAGAAGACTGCTTGCAAGTCAGACATCTAACAATGAGTAAACATCCAAGCAATTCTACAGGAAGTAAACAACCAAATAAGAGAAGGGCAAAGAAATTAAATAGAGTAGCTGTTCCTGAAAAAGAAGACATATAGGGGTTAACACACCCAAGTGGAAAAGGCCTGACATCTCTTGGGGGTACTAGAGACTGCAAATGAAAGCATCAGGGCCACTTCACCTCACACCCTTTGCAAAGGTCAGAGATAAGTAGTGTTGGTGAGGAAGTGAGAAAAGGTGACCTTTGCGCACAGTTGAGGGAAATGTATCTAAGTATAGCCATGACTGAAAACAGCTCGGGGTGGCCTTCAAAAATGTTACATATAGACCCACCATGAGATTGAGTAATCCTGTAAGTGGGTAGATAGCCGAAGGAAATGAAAACAGCGCGGAAAAAGAGGTATCTGCCCTCTCGGGCTGATTATAGCGCTGGTTAACTGAGCCAAGAGGTGGAAACGACCTAAGTATTCATCAACAGATGACTGGAGAAAGGAAATGTGATAGGTTCACACATAGGTGTGCTATCCAGCTGGTCAGAAAATGTTTTATCATCTGCAATGGCATGGATAGATTTAGAGGCCTTTATATCTAGTGAAATTAGCTGGCCAGAAATATGGTTAACAGAGGCAGGAGATGGGCTTCTCAGGGGAGAGAGGGACTCACTAAAGTGGGCGAAGTGGGTGGTATGCTTATTTCAGAGCTGTTGCACAGTATAGTCAATATACCTAATAGCTGAATTTTTAGTGCTACGAAAATAGATAATAAATATTCTCCATGTAGAAGATGGCAAATGTTTGAGATAGTGAATGCTTTTCTGTGTTGTTCTGATTGAATACTCCTATGTTGTATTAAAACGGATAACACAACCTTTATTTTTGCAAAAATATATAGTTATAAATTATCCTTAAAAAAGAGATTTCTTTGGATGAAGCCTCAAAGATCAGGGTAGGATTTTGAGGGTAAAAGAAAGGTATTTTGATTCTGGATTATTGAAAAGGCCAAAAAAATATCCCCCTCACAAAAAACAACACAAAAGAACAACAAAATAGACACAGATATGATGTGATGAAAACAGTAGAAAAAGACGGACAGGTCAAGGAGTGGGAGGACAGTTTTAGAGACTTTTATTTTGAAAACTTCATGTAGGTAATAGAGAATGTAAGCCTGAAGCTCAGGAGCAAAGGAAAAACAGCCAGAACCTTTTCACATTAATACTTTCATGCAGTCATAAGCAGAGGTCTAGGGTCATCATTATTACTCCTTTGAAAACACATGTTTGATCCTCATTGCTCTTAATATTTATTTAATAACCCTGAGAGGGGGATTTGTCGTTGCCTTCCTTCATTCCTTCGTTCCTTCGTTTGTCCCTTCCTTCCTTTCTTCCTTCCTTCCTTCCATGGGATCAAACAGAGGGAGGTCATGGGAGCAGGAACACACTGGTTAGGGAAAGTCATGGAACAGTGGAGAAGTTGAGAATGGAAGAGCTAAATGGCCCGGAGTTCACAGCAGTTGCTTCCTCCAGCACCAGCCTCTAAAACAGTGCTTCTCGGCCTTCCTCATGCTACGACCGCTTGGTACAGTTCCTCATCTTGTGATCACCCCAACCATAACATTATTTTCATTGTTCTTTTATAACTGTCATTTTGCTACTGCTATGAATTGTAATGTAAATATTTGTGTTTTCCACAGTATTAGACGACTGTTATGAAGGGGTCACTCGACCCCAAAGGGGTAGCACCTCATAGGTTGAGAAACAGTGTTCTAGAACCATGTTGGATATGCTGACCTAGCCCAAGTGATTTCATCTCTCCTTCTTTACTCTCCTTGCTCTCATTTTCTTTCTTTTTCTTTTTAAGGTTTGTTTTTGCTTTGTCTGCATGTACACCTGCACACCAGAAGAGGGCCTTCGATCCCATTGAAGACGGTTGTGAGCCAGCATGTGGCTACTGGAAATTGAACTCGGGACCCTTAGAAGCACAGGGCTGCCAGTGCTCTTAAGCACTGAGCCATCTCTCCAGACCCTGCTCCCCCTTTCAGTGAAAGGTTCACTTAGCTTCCTGAGATGCCTATGCCTTTGTGTCGGTTGCTTTGGTCTTGTCTTTGATTTCATTTTCCTCTTAGCTTCTACATCGAGCTTTCTCTCAGCAGGAATTTTCATTCCTCAGGAGTTCAATATTTTGCCCTTCTGTTGGCCTTTTTCTCTGTAGAAGGGGGGCAACTCTTGAGATCGTCAGTTGCCCCGCCAGTGTCTGTGAACAACCACTAGGTGGCAGTGTCTGAGAGCATTGCTAGTCATGATATGCTTGCCTGAATCAGATGTAGGGTGCTTCACTAGCTGTCTTGATTTTAGGCTGTGTGGGTTTTTAAAAAAAAACATTCTTTTCTTATATTATTATCATTTTTTATTTTGTTGGAGGAACACACGTATCATGGTGTACAAGAAGAAGTCTGAGGACAACTTTCAGGGTCCATTCTCTCTGTCCACCATGTGGAATCAAACTCAGGCCGACAGCCTTGCTAGCAAGTGTCTTTACCCACTGAGCAATCTTTTTCTTTTCTTTTCTTTTCTTTTCTTTTCTTTTCTTTTCTTTTCTTTTTTTGTTTTGTTTTGTTTTTCAAGACAGGGTTTCTCTGTGTTGTTTTGGAGCCTGTCCTGGAACTGCTCTTGTAGAGTGGACCAGGCCTGCCTTGAACTCACAGAGATCCGCCTGCCTCTGCCTCCCCAATGCTGGGATTAAAGGCGTGCACCACCATCGCCCAGTTCCAGTAAGCAATCTTGCTCACCCTGGTTTGTATTTAATGCAAACTGACTTCCTTTGTATTCCTAGGATGCTCAGGAAGCTGAGTTGACTCTGTCCTTATGTTCAGCGCGGTCTTATTAATCCACGTGTCATCAGTGCCTGAAGAGGACTCACTGAGTCCAACATGGTCATTTATATGCGGGGAAACTGAGGCAAAGAAAGGGCCAAAATCTTGCTCAAGGTCACATAAAAAAATCCAAGGTAGGCCCGTGAGCTATTCTGATAAGAATCAGAAATCGCATTTGATCCGCTGATTGTGAATCTAGAATCTTTGGGAAGGGGGAAGGCTACAGTAGAGGATGAAGAAAATGGCTGCTGTGAGACAGCAGCCTGGGGCTTCCTGCAAGCCATGGGGACAAGACGAAACAGCCCTGGGAGAGGCCTGCAGAGTGGAGACCGGCCAGCTTCCAAACGGAAAACTTGAGAACTGTGACTACTGTGAGAGTCAATGAAAATTCCAAAATAGGACTCAATAGGCTTGGGCTCTTACTAGGCAGGCGCTTAAATGTCAGGCTCCCTCCCTACTAACGTCAAGAAGAAGAATCTCCAAATGCCTTCCACCTCCAGGAGTTCCATTTTCAGCGTAAATTTCCACTGCATTTGAGTTCCTCGTCAACTTTGCCTCACATTCCTCCCTGAGGTTTAGCCCTTCAGGTGAGAGATTAAGTTGAGCTGAAAAATTAGGTCAGGGCTTCCTACTGCAGATGTTCTCCAGAGACGCAACCTGGAGTGATGACCATCGGCTGACTCAAAACCCTGGCCCGTCACGGTGTTTCTCTTCTACTTAGTCATGAGAGTCTGAGCACCTGGTCTCTGCATCCCACGGCTCCCTTTGTCCTAAGGGCCTTCCAGAAGGATTGGAGAGCTCTCGACAGCTGTGAAACATCTAGAGGAAGTAAGTATGACCTCGTGCTAATGAAAGCGGCCTCCAAATAAAGAGGCTCTTTAAAAGCAGCCTTTTTGAAAAGGGGGGCAACCCAAGAGCCCTTCAAATTGTTAAGAGCACACCAGTGCCCAAGCAGCGTGGCCTGCTGGATTCAAGGCCTAGCAAACCTGCTCCCCACTCACTCCACAGACACTTGGTCTCTGCACATGGAACAGTTGTGCGTCTCTGTGGTCAGCACTGTTCATCGCACAAACGTGCTTCTCTGCAGACGTCTGAGCACTGCATTAGTGTAGACACATGGCCATATTATGATTCATCTATAGGGACCGAGGGCTCCAAACAATATCCGGAAGTGTCACTGACATTCCAAACACCATTAGATCTGCTTAGTCTATAGCCCAAGAGGTAGAGTAGCTTACAGAGCAATGCAGGTATTTTGTGCTTCTTTCTGTTATTTTGGGCTCCTGTTCAAAACTAGTACCTTCTTAGGTCACTCAGGAAGGAGCCAGGGAGAAGGAATTGATTATCAGAGTAAGAAATGGAGTGAAATCCAGAGGTGCTTACCAGATATTGCATTTTGGGGGGGGGCAGTGAGAGGAGCCAGATGCAACACTATCTTTAACCTTAGCAGGGATTACTTGACATGCGCTGTACTGTGCAACTCCCTAGAAGTTCCACCCAGGTAGAGCCAGCCCTCTGTTTGTTTGTTTTTAGAGGCAGTCTCACTGGAAACCAAAATCCTCCTGAGTGTGCAGACGATAGGCTTGCGGCCCCGTATCTGACATCTGGCTCTTGAACTTTTGTTGGGTTTATTTTCCAACTGTTGATCAACTGTGTTTTCCACTTATATTATCATCTATATATTTAGGCTGCATTGGATGTCTCAGATGGTCTTCAGCTGAAATCCCAAAGAAGTAGACTCTAATGCCAGTGAAAGAATGGACTTGCTAGCTATCAAGAACAATCAGACAAAGAACAAGAGCTTCCTTCTGCTATGTCCTTATATAGGCTTCCAGCAAGAGGTGCGGCCTGGATCAAGATCTGGATTAGAAGTGGATCTTCCAACCTCACATTAAACAAACAAACAAACAAACAAAATCCCTCACTTGTGTGCCTACCATATTTGTAATTATATATTAATTTCAGATGTAGTCAAGTTGACAGCCATGAATAGTCATTACAGTTAATGAACCAGAGGATTCTTTTCAGAGACTGCTGTGCTCTCGTTTGTGACTCTCTACTTTTTTCCCAAGAGGCAGGGATTCTGGAACTCATTCTGTAGACTAGACTGGCCTCGAACTCAAAGAGATCAGCCTGCCTTTGCCTCCTGAGTGCTGGGATTAAAGGCGTGTGCCACCACCACTCAGCTATGACTCTGAGGTTTGAACTTAGTCTTAGTAATTGATTCTGGTCACTCAACTATTCCGCATCTCAAAATATGTGACTTTCCCATTACCTGACCCTGCCCCAATCTTTGCTTGGCATGTTTGTAAACAGTAGACCCACTTTGTTTCCAATGCCCATGCTTCTACCCTGGCCAAATTCTAAACAGGTCCTCAAATATATGTGGACAAGACACTTGGCCAAAGAAAATTCAGCTGGGTAGAAAAAAATACAGTTATGGACATTATCAAGTTTGCAAAGAAGCAGAGACAAGGCCATCTTGTTCAGTTTTTTTTTTAGATTAAAAGACATGTACAAATGAGTTATGACCTGGATAATTTTCAAAAGGTGATATTTTGACTAAATTGTCATCTTGACGGTACATTGTAACTAGCATGTGGTTCAGAATACACATTGGTAGTTTTTTAAACAATCTTTAATCTATTTATAATTTCAAATTTTCAGAAAGTATCCCAACAAGTTCATAAATTTGTTTTTTTTAATGGCTAATTCTTCTATGACATATCATTCAGCACAGAATTTGCCCTTAGAAATTTCTGGTAGTCTAGAGCACTGGCACAATCCCAATTTGCACTACTTTCTTTTTGCAACTGGATATATTAATGTCCTCTGAATGGTTTGGAAAATGGGTCAGAAGAAAAATTCAGTGAAATAAAGCAGTACTAGTTATGCTTGGTGATCAATTTAATTATTTGCCTAACAAGAAAGCTAACAACTCTTTGTGAGATTGTTAATTGCTACTGTCAACTTGACTAGATGTGGAAGCATCTAGGGGACACATCTGGAGGTGTCTGTGAAAATGTTCCAGAGAGGTCTGAATAAGGAGGAAAGATGCACCCTGTGTGTGGCTAAAACTGTCCCATAGGCTGCTCTACAAGACTGAGTGGCTAGGAGAAAAGTGAACGGAGTACCGAGCTTGCTGTGATTTCTGGCAATTGACTTAACATGATCAGGCACCTCCCACTCTAGTTCCATGAATTTCCTACCATGATGGAGTGTGTTTCTTAAAACATGAGGACAAAATAAATTCTCCATTCCTTAAGCTGATTTTGTAAAATATTTGGATAGAGCTTGAAGAAAAGTAAACAATGTAGTATATAGCTCTTAACTTGACGTTTCATCTATGGAATGTGTTGTTGGTTTGTTTCTGTTGATTGGAGGTCCATTCAATTGTAAATGGTTAGAATTTCATACATGAGCGTTGTATTCACAACATTCTCATTTTCCCTCTTCCCTTCCAACTTCTTCCATGTCCCCCATTCCTTCTTCAGTTCATGGCATTATAGGCAGAGGTTTTCTGTGTCTTGCTTGCTTGTGATCAGTTCTGCTTCATCAGCCATTTCTCAGATAACCATTCAGGGACTCTTTACTAATTATAAATGCTCAGCCAATAGCTCAGGCTTGTTACTCTTACATTTTAAATTAACCCATATTTCTATTAATCTATGTATTGCCATGTGACTCCTGGCTTTACCTGTCCTCCAGCATGTCTTGCTCCCTCTGCATCTCCTGGCAACTCCACTGACTCCACCCTCCTGTTCCCAGCATTCTCTCTGCTCTGAAAGTCCTGCCTTGCTATTGGCTAATCAGCTTTTTATTAGCAATGAGAGCAGCACATTTTCACACTGTACAGAAGGGTTATTCCACTGCATGACATCTTCTTTTAAAAATTTAATTATCATTACATGTATATTTGTATATAGCCTATCGATTCTTACTCTCTCAGAAGTGACTGGTTGCTTGTTAGTTTTCATTGAGGTTAGGAGCCTTATGAAAATTTTCCCATCCATGTAGGCATGCCCACTGGTGTTACCATTTTATGTAGGTCTGGCTTAGGCAGTCATAGATTTGAGATGCTTGGGTGCAGGTTCCATGTCAAGTCTAGGATGCACAATGCAGCAGCAGTTGTCTTTGTCCTCTGGCTTTTATAATCTCCCCACCCTTCTTCTGTGATGATCCCTGAGCCTTAGCTATAGGGCTTGCATTTGAATGTGTATCAGCTGGGCATGGTCACTCTATTCTCTACACTTTGAGCAGCTGGGCAGCTCTGTAACAGTCTCCTCATCCTCTGTAAAAAGAAGCACCTGGGATGGCTGGTGAGAGTTCTGTGGGTTTAAGGTAAGCATTGAAACACAGTTGCAAATGATACTGGATTAGCAAAATGGCAGTGATGGGGTCTATCAACACAGAAATTTGGTTAGGTTCATATTGTAAGACTTGAATTTCCTGACTGTGTAGAGTTAGCCTCAAAATAAAACATGTCACTATTGCACCACTGGGGCTATCTTCCCAGTCCAGTCATGCGGTTTGCAGGATTTGTACCTGTGGTGTATTGCTGAATGCTTCCCTCGCTTGGCAGTTTTTATACCACCCTCCAATACCATGAGATCTAGTCTCTAAGGAAGAGGTTTCAAGATTAGTTCCTGCCCAATTCCCTCCAGTCCTGTGTCCAAAGTATGGGTTGTCTTCAGCAACTGAACCATACCTTCAAATTCTTGGAAGAACCAAAGGCAAAGACGATAACATGTATTGTCTGGGGAGTCTCTTGGAATCCTCCCCATCTCCTGATAACTCAGGGGAGGGTTCCTATGCTTGGCATTGGGGTTTATATAGTCTATGGCTTTGTGGTAGTGGTAAGAGCATTATCACTCTATGTGGAACTTCATTTGAAATACACATACATGCACACATACACATACACACACAACCTTGTAAAATAATATATTTCCCTATGGCTTTTCCTTCCTCAACAAAAAACAATGTTTTTTCCAAGCCAGACATGGTCACATATACTTGTAATGTCAGCACCTGAGGTAAGGCAGGAGGATTACAAGTTCAAATTCAGCTTGAGTTACACAGTGAAACCTATTTTAAAAACACACTGCTTTTCAAAATATTCCAGGGATTTTTTTTACTTTGAATTTTCTTTCTTTTTATTAAGAATTTTTTAACACAATCTTTTCTCATTTTACATAGCTATCCCCATTCCCATTCCCTCTCCTCTTCCTGCTTCCTCCAACTTCCCCCACTCCACCTCCTCAGTCATTTATCAGAAATGATAAGGCTTCCCATAGGAAGTTAACAAAGTCTGACACTTCTCTTAGAGGCAAGATCAAGGCCCTTCCCCTATATATAGACTGAGCAAGGTATCCCTCCAAAAAGAATGTGCTCCTAGATACCACCAGTTCAAGCACTAGGGATAAATCCTGGTCCCACTGTCAGTGGCCCCACAGACTGTCCAAGGCTCACAACTGTCCCCCACATTCAGGGGACCTAGTTTGGTCCTATGCAGGCTCATTCTCTATCAGTCCAGGGTCAGTGAGCTCTCACTAGCTCAGGTCAGCTGATTCTGTGGATATCATCATCATGGTCTTGACATCTTTGCTCATATTATAAATCCTCCCTCTCTTGGACTGGTCTCGGGTATTTGAGTCCAGTGTTTTGCTGTAGATCTGTGTATCTGCTTCCATCAGTGCTGGCTGAAGTTTCTATGATAAAAATTAAGGTAGTCATCAGTCTTATTACAAGGGAAGATCATATTAGGCATCCTCTTCACTGTTGTTTAATTTCTTAAAGAGATAATTCTTTCTCATTCTGTGCTTTTGACCTTTTTCTCAAGGATGAGGGAACAAAGAATTGTTGGTCTGTTTTCAGACTTTATTCTGCCCCTTTAGTCTATTGGTTTGTCTATTATCAGATTTTGATAATAACTAACTGAGGCTTTTTATCTTACATTGGAATTCAGAAACACAATGTTTCTAGCTTTATATTTTTTCTAAAAGATTGTTTTGATCATTTGTGGCGTCTTCTGTCGTTCCATACAAAAGACTCTGCTTTTATAAGTGGGGTCTGATGTTTTCCAGGTCAGGCTGCTGTCTCTGTGTTCCCCTGGGTGGCTATACTTGTCCAGACACTTTAGAATTCCAAGACTAGCAAGACAGCTGTAACTCAGAGTATCTCTGGAATCAAAGGCATGGGGTTCATGCATAAAAGGCCTTTCCTTCTGGGGAGGGGAGGGGTTAAGAGATTGCATTTAAAAGTTTTATTGCATTCTTATTTACTTCTTTTATGTGCTTGTTTATGAATAGGTGTAGGTATGCACATGCTACAACATACATATGTCACAGAACAGTCTGCAGAGTTTGGCTCTCTACTTCCAGCATGCGGGCTCCCGGGATGGAACTCAGGTTGAAAGTATTGGTGGCATGGGTATTTACCTGCTAAGTGGCCTAAGAGATGTCATTTTATTTTTCATTTGCTCAACTTGTATTGAGCAGAGGGAAGGAGGGACGGCATCTAGTAGCCAAACCATCAGTTTGTTCTCCTTCCGATGGCTAGATTACATTGGACCCATCAAAGCTCCAAGACCAGCAAGAATGAGGACAATCTACTGGCAAAGCACCTGGGAAACATTTGAGTGCTGGGTATGTGAACTTATTCCATTTCACAAAAGAAACAGAGTGTGAGCGGTGGGGCTAGGAGTGGGGATTCAGTGTGAGGGTCTAGTAAATCTGAGTTTACATCTACCTGGGGTCCATGAATCTTCCATTTAGTTTCTGAATTTCTCATGAGAGGAAATTACCACTGAATCAATGGGTTTGTGAAGGGCAAGAGAACCCCAGAAATCCTATCTTAC